TTTTGATTTGGCAAAAGAAGCACGCCAAATTATGGCAAAATTCGTACGCTGCTCGTTTGCAAAAGCAACTGCAAACTGCATGCTCTAATTCCAGTTCTGTCACTTTCATTTGATCTCGTCCATGAGTCGCGGCTTATAATATATTCATGTATATTATAAATGCATTGCTTATAATATATTCATGTATATAGGCTTTCCCACTTTCGCCTGATTATGTCATCTTCCTATTCCTTGAAATAGAGACAAAAGTCGACATCCAGTAATGAAATTTGTCAGTTTTCTTAATAGTATAAGACAAGTGTTTGTGATATATGACACATACGCCAAGGGTCATCAGTATAGTCGGCAAAGCCATAGCCAACTAAATCGTGTTTATTGTATGTGAAATAATACCAATCTACCAGTATGCTCGAAGAAATAACTGGAATGTTTTTGTCATTATTTTCGCTATTCGTTAACGCAACACCACGCGTATCTTTACGAGAACATCAACCAGAGGTTAATGATGATGACAGATGGCAACCGTATATCAATGAAGAATACGAGAACTTTCATACCAACGAACAGTTAAGCTCAGTCTTGGTTAATAGAAGAAGAACAGATTATACAAGGCTTGATGGTACTTCGTCTGGACGGAGGAGTTATTGGGAGTCGATTCGGAGAAGTTTATGGACAACTCTGACTATTACGTGCGCTATGTTCGTACCAACGGCTTTCATAATGGCGTTTCTTTATATAGATTTAAACACAACGGATCTTTGTTTGGAGTGGCAGTATCACAATAACACTTTACCATTTTCTGTGAAACGATTTCGTGTCATCGGTGACAATGTTGGAGTGATGATAACCAATCTTTGGTTTCCACTAACAATGGTAGTTCTATTTGGATGGAAAGAATTTAAGCTGAGGTTTTTGTCTACCTTCTATGTCGGTTTTATCTTCGGAGAAACGATAGTAATTTATTACTTACTTTTGCTGGTATTTGGTGTATACGATACGCACATGTATTACAGATATCCTGCAAATATGCTGTTCTTTTCTGGCATAATTTGCTGTAGCATTCTCATGCTTCGCAATATCCGAGCCAGCGATTCTACATTGTCCTATTCTAACGGTCGTATTTTGGCTTTAATTTCGACAGAGCTCGTCGTATCATCCGTACTGGCATTGACCTACAAATACGCTATAGTGCCTTTTTTTAATGGCATAAAACAAGAAAGTTGCAAATTCTTGGTGGCTGTGATGGTGCCAGGATTAACCATTATCCCTGCTGCGATTTGTAAGCACATAGCGTTGAGACGAAGTTCCGAAGTTGTAGACCCCGGCCGGAGCTTTGTCTTAGTATACTTTATCCGAGGTGGTGTCATACTCTTATACCGCACAATGCAAGCAGATTTGAAAAGCATTTGGCTTTTTATTGGGTTATCTCTGTTCTCTGGTTTTATGAACTTTTTGGAAAAGGCGACCTATCGAATTCGGATCAAATTGTGGAGATGCATTATCTCACTTTTGAATCGAACTGCTTGCTGTCGAAGACTCAATGAATTGCCTCAAGATACACCGCATTATAGACGGTTAAAAGCCGACATAGAAATTCAAGATATGCTTTTTGAATACAGTACACTTGTTTTAAGCCAAGGTTACTTCGTGTTGTACTTTGTAGAAAGTTTTAAACTTTCGGTGTGGTCTTTCCTTTATGAATCCCTAACTAGAGTTGCAATTGGCATTGGAATTGATCTATTTTTCAATTGCCTTTCAAATTTTGTGCAAATCCATTACTACAATATTCCAGTTGGTCGCGTTTGGACGAAGTACTGGAAACGACACATGTTGGCTAACTTCATCATCGTCATTGTGATAGTGTCATACTTCAGCCCCGTCCTTCTTTCGGTTTTTCAAGCGCGGGAGACTGGGACAAGTAACAGACAGTATATAGTCAGAAATTGTACGTTTTTCTAGTCTGACTGGTTGGCGTTATAACCATATACATTATATATGCGTACGGCCCTCTTGTCATAAAAACAAGTTAGCCTATCCGGCTAGATATAGGTGGGTTTCACCAGGCCTTTGGTATGGTGCTCACATGGTAATAAATCAGTTGGACAGTATATGATACAATGTATTTGGGTTTGCCATCAGACACAAAGTGAATTTTAGCTTATAGTGAGCAATTTCGCCGCGCACAACACTGCAGTCAAACGTAAAGTGCATGCGCGCGTATACAGAAATGGCGGGAAAAATGTCTGCCAAATTATTATGAGTAAATACGGGAAAAGAATGCGTTTACTATAAGGAAACGGCTGAAGCTATAAGGTAGGGGTTTCAACGCCTTTTCCTTGTGGCAAGACGAAGTTCAACTGAGTTTAAACACTCGTAATTTTCTTTAAACTCTTTTGAATGTCAAGCAGTAAATACGCGCGGACGTTTGACCGCGGTGTTGCCTACATTGTCCCTTTTAGTGTCACCTGGCACTGCAAAGTCGCGTGTAATATATTTAACTCAAGGTTTATGCCAAACTTTGTTTATGTAAGACAAGCTTATGATGTACTACTTTATATATAAATACAAATGCATATAACGAACTGTACTGTATATGAAGAGCTGGACCGTATATCATGAACTAAGTAACTAATTAAAAATTTATTCCACGAGGTAAACGTATTAACCATAACAGTTTATATCTAATATACGGCCCAAACAATTTTGCAATAGATTTAATATACAGTTTCGTAAAATATAAGATGCAACACACTCGGAATATATTAACATCTTGTAAACTCAAGATTCGGGCTTTTTCAACACAAAACAATAGTAATTCCGAAAACGGTAAACATTTAGGGGCTTTGGTGGCGAAGTGGTTAGCGCACTTGCCTTTCACCTCTAAGGCCGTGGGTTCAAATCTCAATGAGAATTTCTCAATGTGACTCGAACCCAGTCCTCATGTGAAAAGAGTAAAAGTCAACGCTCTGCCGAAAGCCGTGGGTTTTCTTCGGGTACTCCGTGTTTCCTCCCACAGGGAAAGTTGACAGGGTGGGTTAGGCACATATTGCTAGGTCTGGACTCTGGAGGCAGATCATTAATGAGGTATGGACTAATAGCGGCAGCTCAAGCGCCATTTGTAAGCTCAAAGTCTACCTCGGTGTGCTTCACGTCAGTCCGGTTCTATCTATCTATTCATAATGTAATCATGCAGTCACTGAAAAGCCCTGATATATAGGGAGTGTGCTGTGAAATATCTGTATCTCTATTTTGAAAAGTGCAGTTCATGCAACGTTTCGACTAGATTTTAGTCATCATCAGGAATGATGCAATTAATTATGTATAATTTTGTGGCCATTACTTTACTTATAAGTTCTTTAGAAGCTTTAGTTCTGTGATTAAGGTTACGTTTCAGCACAGTATGCGATATGTATCGCAAGCGATTCTAACTAATAAGCGATCGGTTCTAATAGTCTTATATAGTATTTCCTATATTTCCTATATTTCTTCATTTGTATATATATATATATATATATATATATATATATATATAT